TTGAAAAAGAACTATAAACAAAGTCAAAAATGAGTAGAAAGAAGGAAATAATAGATATCAGAGCAGATGTAAATGAGAGTCTAAGAAAAGAAACAAAAGATCAATGAATCCAAGGGCTGGCTCTTTGAAAAGATAAACTAGATTGACAAACCTTTACCCAGACTCATCAAGAAAAAAAGAGGGTACCCAAATAAATAAAATCAAAATTGAAGGAGGAGAAATAACAACATGAAAGAAATACAAAGCACTAATAAATATTATGAACAACTATATGCCAACAAACTGGACAATCTGGATGAAATGGATAAATTCCTAGACATGCAATCTTCCAACACTAAATCAGGAAGAGTCAGAGAATATGAATAGACAGATTACACCTGGTGAAACTGAAGCAGTAATCAAAAAAACTCTCAACAAACAAAAGCCCAGGACCACATGGCTTCACAGGTGAATTTTACCAAACACTCTGGGAAGAACAACTAACACCTCTCCTCAAACTATTTCAAAAAAATTCAAAAGGATGGAAGACTCCCAAACTCTTTATGAGACCAGAATTATCCTAATCCCCAAACCAGATAAAGACAGTACAAAAAAAGAAAATTATAGGCCAATATCCCTGATGAACGCATATGCTAAAATCCTCAACAAAACAATAGCAAACCAAATACAGTAACGTATCAAAAAGATCATATACCATGATCAAATGGGACTTATTCCCGAAATGCTATTGGTACAACATTCAAAAATTGATAAATGTGATTCACCACATAAACCAAATGAAGGATAAAAACTACATGATCTATCAATGGTTGCAGAAAAACCTTTGATAAAATCCAGCATCCATTTATGATCAAAACTCTCAGCAAAGTAGACAGAGGGAACATACCTAAACATAATAAAGGCCATACATGACAAACCCACTGTAAGAATCATACTGAATGGGCAAAAAACTTGAAACGTTCCCCTTAATATCGGGAAAAAAACAGGGATATTGCTTTTACTTCTCTTAGTCATAGCACTGGAAGTCCCAGCCACTGCAATCAGGCAAGAAGAAACAAAAGGCATCCAAATTGAAAAGTGAGAAAAACTGTCTTTCTTTGCAGATGACATTATACTGTGCATAGAAACTACTAGAAACTACCAGAACAGATTCCACTAAGGAGTGCACTAAGAAACTACTGGAACTGATAAATGAATTCAGCAAAGTAGCAGAATACAAAACTGATATCCAGAAATCAGTTGCATTTTTATATGCCAATAATGAACTAACAGAAGGGGAAATTAAGAAAACATTCCCATTCACAATTTCTTCAAAAAAGGATGTAATACCGAGGAATAAACCTAACCGTGGATGTAAAAGACCTACACTTGGAAAATTATAAGACACTGAAGAAACAAACTGAAGAAGATACAAATAAGTGGAAGCACACACATGTTCATGTATAGGAAGTAGTAACATCATTAAAATGGACATCCTAATATTGCTTTTGGATACCCAAAGCAATCTATAGATTCAATGTAATCTCTATCAAAATTTCAGTGATATATTTCACAGAACTAGAACAAATATTTAAAAAATTTATATGGAACCACCAAAGGCACTGCATAGCAACAGCGATCCTGAGAAAAAAGAACAAAGATGGAAGAATCACACTATCTAATAGGAAACTATACTACAAGGCTATAGTAATCAAAACAGCATGGTACCGGTATAAAAACAGACATAGACCAATGGAACAGAAAGGAGAGCCCAAAAATAAACCCACTCCTTTATACTAAATTTACCATTTGATGGAGGAAGCAAGCCCATACAGTGGGCTAAAGATAGTTTATTGAATAAACAGTGTTGAGAAAATTGGACAGATACATGCAGAAAAATGAAGCTAGGCCACCTTTTTTACACCACACACAAGAATAAATTCAAAATAAATGAAAGACTTAAACGTTAGACCAGAAACCATAAAATGCTAGAAGAAAATAGGCAGCAAAATCTCAAACACTGCTTGTACAAATATTTTTCAGATATATCTCCCCAGACAAGGGAAACAAACAAACAAATAAATAAATAAACAAATGTGACTTCATCAAACTAAAAGGTTTATGCACAGCAAAGGAAATCATCAACTAAATAAAAAGACAACTCACAGAATGGGAGAACATATTCATTGATACATCTGATAAGGGGTTAATATCCAAAATTTATAAAGAACAAAAGTTTAAACCAAAAAAACCAAACAACCCTATTAAAAAATGGGCAAAGGACCTGAAGAGATATTTCTCCAAAGAAGACATATGGATGGCCAATAGAAATATGAAAATATGTTCAACGTTGCTAATCATCAGAGAAATGGAAATTAAAACCACAATGAGATACCATCTCACAGCTGTCAGAATGGCTATCATCAATATATTAATAAAGAGTGCTGGTGAGGATGTGGAAAAAGGCAAACACTTATGCACTGTTGATAGGAATGAAGATTGGTGTAGCCCATTGTGAAAAGCAGTATGGAGACAACTCAAAAAGTTAAAACTGGACCTGCCTTCTGACCCAACGATCACTCTTCTGGGAATGTATTTGAAGGAACCCAAAACACCAACTCAAAAGCACATAAGCACCCCCATGTTCATTGCAGCTTTATTTACAATTGCCAAGATATGGAAGCATCCCAAGTGTCCATCAGTAGATGAGTGGATAAAACAATTACGGAACATTTACACAATGGAATACTACTTGGCCATAAAAGAGAAGAAAATTTTACCCTTTGTGATAGTATGGATGGACCTGGAGAACTGAAATAAGCTGGTCAGAGAAAGACAAATACCGTATGATTTCATTCAGTATGGGCTCAAATGTACAAACTGAACTAACAAGCAAAGTAGAGACAGACTCATAGATGGAGAGCAGGATGATAGGTAAGGGAGTAGGGAGGGTAGAGGGTGGAGGGATTGAGCAAAAGGAGAAAGGACGCATGGACATGGACAGCAGTGCGGTGAGTGTGGTGAGGGGGCATGGAAGAGGGGTGTAGGGGGGTTAAATGGTAGTGGGAAAAGATACAATAAAAAAAGACCTCAAAAAAAAAAATAAATGACACAACTCTCCATTAATCAGGTCTAAGGCCTAAATCTTTCCCTCACAGAGCCCTCCCCAGCAGGTCTTTCCTGTGGATTCTGACTCTATAGCATTTCTCACATTTTCTCCATTTTTCACTTCTGCTACTACTCAAATTCAGAACCTTGTTATTTTTTTATTTTTGCACTATAGCAATAATGTAGTTATTCTCCTTGACTTCAATACTGTTGCCATGTTCTTGAGACACATTTTTCTTTTTCTTTTTTAAATTTCCTTCCTCAAAAATTAAGGCTTTCCACTGCCCTCAAAATAAAGCCCAATTGCATGGCCTAGCATTTAACTGGCACAAAAGTTTAATCCTTCATCTTGATCTTCCTTACAGAAGAGCCACAAGCTGGCCTTACCCCTTCTCCTTTTTTCCTGTCTGGGCAGCTTTTACACCATTTTTAGATTTCCAAATCCCATCAAGGCTCAGTTCAAACACTACTCAGGAGGACTCTACCCGCAGCTGCTGTATCCTTCTCCACCCCAAATACAACCAATAATCTCTCCTTCCTAGGATGTCTTTTAGCATGTTCTCATGGTACTGGGACTTTCTACCTTGAATGATACTTTTTCCCCCCAACAAGTGTTATATTCTCTATAACACTCTGAGTACTTTAAGGTGGGAGTCTAGGTTTATTCTGCTACTTTGCAAAGTTTAATGAAATAATGGCTATAGAATTATTAATTGATCAAAATAAAAGTATAATGGCCTTTTCTCTCCTACACAATTCTAATTATTTCCAAAGTCCCTTCACTAAAAGCAACAAACAAGAAACTCAAACCTACTATCTGCCACCCCCCCCCCCCCCAAAAAAACCCCTAAACATCAAAAAAAGCAAAAGTGAAACAAAAACACCTTTTACATGACTGGATACTTGTACAATGTTCCTATATGCGACACTCTCTTCCCAATCCTTCACCTGGCTTAAATTCATTAATCCACTGGACCGTAAACTCCATGAGAGCAAGGACTTTCTTTATTCACGGTTGTATGCTGTACCTATTGCTTGGAACTTGACAAGTATTCAAATATATTTATTCAATGAACTAGTTGTTTGTTGAAATAACACTTTCTAGGGGTTCTGTCATCTCTCCAATCTAAAGTGGGTCTGCATATATAAATATATGCTTTCCTCTAGATCTCATTCCCCACCCTACATGCCAATCTTTAAAAACAAAGTTCAAAGTTGATCATCCGCAGACACGACATGAAGGAAACTGAACTTAGTCAAGCACAGCGCAACACTAGAAAGGCCATCTCATAATGGCTCCAGAAAACTTTGCCCTATGTCCTTGCAAGATCGTGCAACCCTTTCTTCTAAGCATCCTTGTAAAGATGCTGCCCTTTTCATTCCTCCACTGAATTTCTGGCCCTGGGTTATACTGATACCTTAGGGACACGTATAAGGAGGCAGAAGGACCCCGGTTCCAAACGAACCAAGTGACAGAGAACCTGAGAAGAGAAAGCAGACACTGAACAGGAATGTCTATCCTTTCCTCAACGCATGGCACACCAAAGGCCTAGCATGGGGGATGGTCCTTGAAAAAGAGCCCGAGAGAAAATGAGAAACACGGAAAGGAGCTGTACAGAGAAGTCGCCAAAACCTTCCGAGGAAGGTCCGACACCGTGTTCCCAGGACTTATCCCTTGGGGCCGTGTCCTCCGCCCGCGTGCCTCAGCCCACAACACCCTCAGAGGAAGCCGAGCTCTCATTGAAAGGGGAGAGCGGTCAGCCTGGGGCACGCGACCGCCCGCAAGTTAGGTTTCCCCATAAGAAGCGAGGAAACTAAGACCCCCCACGGAACTACTCTCCCACCTCATCCCTCGCGGAGGTCTCGAGCCTCCCAGCGGCTGCTGGGAGGGGGGGTCGCTCGTCATAACTCACCGCTCCGCCCCGCTACTCTGTCCTTTCCCTGTAGCCCCTTCCGAACTGGTCCCGACACCAGCCGCCTCCTAGAGTGGGGAACAGAAGTTACCGCAGCACAGTCGAGGGGGAACCGTTTTCGCTGTGGCACGGTAGGAAGTTACGTACACTTCTTTTTCCGGTCCGCCGGATTATGAATGACGGCTGGCCTTGCTGTTTCTCACGCACGCTGTCTGTCGTTTGTCAGGCGTCCTTTGTGGTAGCGAGTGGTCCGCTGGCGAAGACTCCAGAAGCGGCCTGGAATCCCGGCTCGGGCGGGGCGGGAAGGCGCAGGCGGCCCGCCTTGCCGATACTTTCACGCACCCTCCCTGCCTGGCCGCGCCTCTGCGACCAGGTAAAGAGGGCGCTCGGGCCGCCGACCCCTCGGTCCCTGCCGACCGCCAGTGCCTACTCTTTGCATCCTGGGACCACAGGGCTGACGACGTGGGGGAAGGTCAAGGACATGGAATTAGTGTCCTGGTCTCTCTCTGGCCCGTCATTGCCCACAGCTTCTTAGGGTGCACGTGGAGGGCTCCGGGCTTCCTCTGCTGTTGGGAATGGAGCAGCTTCTAGTTACGGGGGGCGGGGGGGGGGGGGGGGCGTTTGCCGTTTTCTGCTAAGTGTAATTTCCAGACCTCTTGCATCAAGGCTTTAACTTGTTTTTCTTCGACACTTAGTTTTTCCACTGCAGACCTTCCTGAGCATACTGCTTAACAGTTTCTCCAAAGGACTTGCTTCATTTTGGGCCATTTGCTTCTTCACTTCGGTTTTAAATTTCAGTAGAAAGTTTGATTTTAGCTTGCAGAAAAGTTGTTTTGGCTTCAAAAACGTTTGCTGATACACGTACTTCCTATCCCATCTCTACCTGGTTTTGGGATTAGGTGATTTTTTTCCTTTTATGCATTAAAAAAAAAAATTCCTTACCCGAGGATATGTTTATTCATTTTAAAAAGGGAGGGAGAGAGAGGGAAGGAGGCGGGGGGCGGGGGGAGAGGAGAGGAGAGGAAAGGAGAGGGAGAGGGAGACATCGGATGTGAGAGAGAAATGTCAATGTGAGAGAAAGATGATAGGTTGCCTCGGAAAGGCGCCCAGACCGGGGATCTAACTGAAAGCGAGGTATGTTCCCTGACCCGGAATGAACCGGCAACCTGGTGTACCATACAGAACTACAACCAACTGAGCCACTGGCCGGGCATTTCCTTCTATTCTTAATGCCACGGTCCCATTCCTGTCATAGTAAGTTCTTGAATGTCAAGGAAATGCCAGCATTTAATATACCTTCTGCTAAATTATTGATAAAGAAGGTAGACTACTAGTTTTTCTAAGGTTATCTATAGAAAGTGTTTAAAGGAGAAAAATACGAAAGCTGGCAAGAGCTAATGTGACAATTTTAAACATGTAAACATGATCATTTAAATACTGTAAAATAAATGCTCTGTTATAAATACAACCGAGTGATTTTCTGTCATGTTTAATAAAACATTAAGCTACGCGAGTTGTTTTTTATTTTTTTAACCACCTGGTGGGGAATATACACTATTCAGGATTGCCTTAAGCATACTCATTGGAAATTGTGTTTGAGTTATACCTGAAGGCAGCATTTTAATATAAATGACTTTTCAGACTTATTCAAAAATAAGTCTGAAAAATATCAGTGAGATTTGAGAATCATTTTATCAGGATTTTTTTTTGTTTGTTTGTTTTGTTCTGTTTTTTTACCTTAGAATTGTTTGCCTGCTTTAAACAAAGCTCAAATTTCAGTAGTGGTATACCCATCAAGTCTGTTTATTTTTTTAACACGTGTTTAACTTTGTAGCTTTTGTATCACCTGTGATTTGAAATAAGAATAAATACTGAGTAGCCAGTTGGTTTTTCTAGCAGCAACAATTTAGCGGACCTTGAAATTTAACAAATTCTGCAGCCAGTCAACTAAAACATCTGTAGTATACACACAGTCCTCCAGTGTATCTTGTTTTTACTTTAAGTAGTCAAAGCAGCCTCCTGGCTTCTGTTATGATTACTGCTTGAAATGCAAAAGATTTAAACCACTTAGATCACAACAAGCACAGGTATTATTTGTTGTAGGGATTCAGTAATTTTATTTCAGGCTTGCTGATGTTTCCAACATGTTAGCATTTCATGCTGTGAAATCCCTATTAATTATGAGGTCAGGCTTAGTTGCAAGCATTATGAATCTCTGGCAACAAATGATTCCCTGATTCTCCAGAGAAGATGACACACTTCCCTTATTACTAAGATTACAGTAAGCATTTTTACGTTCAAACTTTTTTTTCACTTTTTGCCCAGATAAGAAAGCAGCTAATTTTAATTATAGGATTTTGTTTTCTAGGACTTAACTATATACATTCCCACATTACAAAATATAGTGAGCACTGAAATAGTTCAGTTTTTTTTCTTTCCTTTGTTAACCTTTACTATTTAAGGTAATTAGCAGCTACCTAACTCTAGGGGCAAGTTTTTGCTTGTTTGTTTTTAATCTATATTACTGTGATAAAATAGGGTGAGATTTGCAACCAAATAGTGTTACTTCATGAAATGTATAAAACATAAGCTAATTTCTGACATTGAGCATTTGATGTAATAAGGAATTTAAATGGGTTTAAATTTAAGTTTCAATCTCTAAAAAAATGAGTTTGCAATGTTTTCATACTTATAAACTGTGATGAGCTATTTTGTACAATATAAGTAGTTAATATACATGTGAACTTAGGGTTTCACATTTATATTCTGCCATTTTGTGACTTCCTGGCATTCAGCCTAAGTAAGATTTTTTCAATATTTGGGGAAATACCTTTTCAATTCAACATGAACCTCTTACCTTTCCTGAGAAGTTTGGAAATACATAGCATACCTTGGAGCTTTCCCATCAACAATTGTGTATTTTAATAGTGTCAATGAATAAGGAATTTTGGGATAAATTATAAAAGAATAATAATAGCTAATATTCATTTAGGGGCTTACTAATGTAATAGGCATTGTTCTGTTTTTACAACACACTACATGGTAATTACTGTTATTGTCCCCATTTTATCAATGAGGGAACTAAGGCACAGAAAAGTTTTATATTGCTTCTGAATATCAAGACCAGGATTTGACTCTGATTAGCTCCAGAGTCTAGACTCTTATCCATTATTTTATAGTTATTGGTGTATGGTTAGGTTCCTAGTTCTCTTGCTTGAAAATCAACATACATAAAAACTTCTGTGCTTTACATATTTGGATGGATTCTAGTTACCCTTTTTTTCCAGTTCAGATTACATGGGTCATCTTATTTAACTTATAATAGATGGCTCTTAAAATAAATATCCATTTGGAAGAGAAAGAATAGTGTTAAGAAGGATGGGGTTCATGTTATACCAAGACTAAAGTTCTCAACAGTACTCTCATTACAGTAATTACTGATACTCATTTACGTACATTCATTTATTTTTGAACTAACTTTTTAGTACTGCTAATTTAAGCATTGGAGATGTGATGTGAGGTAATAAGTGCTGTACTTGTGAAGTAAAAGAAAATAGGATAAGGGGCTGGTGAATGGTTGGAATGCTTTTTCAATTCAGGTTGTCAAGAGAGGCTGCTCTGAGTTAATATTCAGAAACCTCAATGAAATTATAGTAACCCATGTGAGTATCTTGAAGAAGAGCATTCTAAGCAAAGGAAACAGCAGGTACAAAAACTCTCAAGTGTGAGCGTCCCTGGCATCTTGCAGGAACAGCAAAGAGACCTGGCTGGAGATGAGTGATCAAGAGGGTGGAGGGAATGGAGTCGAGATCAGAAAGAAAGGAAAGCTAGGATTACGTTAGGCCCTATGTAGACCATGTTAGGACATTTGGATTTTATTCTAAGTGTGCAGGGGACATGATCTGATTTCTGTTTTTGAAGAATCACCCTGGCTGTTGGAGCACTTAACTGTTTGTGTGAGAGTGGAGGGATAGTTAATGACTTCTGCGCTGGTCTTTGTAAGAGAGCTAATGATGGCTGAAATTAAGATGATAGTGGTAGAGGTGCTAAGAAGTTGGATTTAACTCATGTTTCAAAGGCAGAAATAGTAGGTTATGAGAGAGAATGAAAGGAGTTGAGTGAGATTTCAGAGTTACAGGCCCAAACATGTAGGTGAATGGTGTTGCCATTTTGCCTAGAGGACTGGGGTTGACTACTAAGGGAAGAGGAGCAGGTTTAGAAAAATGCCCAAGTTGTGTTGTCAAGTAGGATACAAGAGTCTGAGGTTCAGGGAAAAGGGTATAGATGAAAAACATAGGAGTCGTAGATGATATTTAAACCTCTGGCACTGGAGATCACCTAGAACAGGGCTGTTAATGTGAGGTGTAGGCCCATTAATGGGTCTTGAAATCAGCTTAGTACATATTAACCAACACTTAAGGAAAAAAAACAGGAAGAAATACAGAGTAAAACATACCATATATCTCCCATGTAGTAGGATATTTCTTAATAATTATTTTTGTTTCAGTCTTATTCAGTGTATAAAAAGTTGCATTATAAAATGTTATTTCTTAGTGTGTGGCATGATCAAAATTTTGAAAGCCAGTACTCAAAGATCTGAATGTAGATTGGAAATAGGGTAAAGCATTGAGCCAAGGGTCCTTAAGAGGCTTGAAGAGGATCTAATAAAGTTCTAGTGCTAAGAATGGTTAAATAACCCTGCATTTAGAACAGGATTTTTTCCCCCAAGGATTGCTTAGGATAACATAATTTCTAGTGATTTTTACATTGGTAAAACTGTGTATGTAACATGCCATTCAGTCAGCTCCAACTCCTGACTCAGGAGTGGTCTGACTCATGGGTGGCCCCATGAATGAGTTGGTGTCTGTCCCTGGTGTCCTGTCCTCAACAGCTCTGCTCAGCTGAAGACTCATGCCTATGATTGCTTTTACGGAATCAATCCTCATATTTGGTCTTCCTCTTTTCCTGCTGCCTTCTATTTTCCCCATAATTAGTGTCTTCTCTAAAGAATCCTGCCTTATGATGTGTCCGATGGAGGACAGCTTCAGCTTTGTCATTTTCACCTCCAGCTGTGTTTGAGGGTAAATTTGCTCCAGGATCCACTTACTCATCTTCCTGGTGATCCAGGATATCCTTAGAGCTCTCCTCCCACACCATAGTTCAGTTGAATACCTTTTTTTTTCCTGTCAGCCTTTTTAACTGTCCAACCTTCATATCCATACATAGTAACTGGGAATACAAGGCTATGGATGGTATTAGCTTTGGTCTTTAATGACACATCTCTGCCCTTGGAGATCTTTCCCTAATTCTTCTCTTGCTGCCCTTCCCATCTCAGCCTTCTCTTGATTTCTTGGCTGCAGTCTTCATTTGAATTATTGATTGAACCAAGATAGCAAAATCTTTAACCATTTCAATCTTCATTGTTTTCCTTAAAGTTGTATATTCTGTAGTCATGATTTTTGTCGTCTTAGTGTTCAAATGCAGTCCTGCTGCTTGACACTTCTTTCACAGTCATCAGAAGTCAGTTTAAATCATTGCTGATTTCAGCCAGTAAGATGGCATCACTTTCATATCTTAAATTATTGATATTTCTTCCACCAATTTTCACTTCTTTGAGTCCAGCCCAGTTTTTCTTATGACATGTGTGCATAGAGACTATACAGGGAGATAAAATGCACCCTTGTTTGACACTCCCCTGTTGCCTATAGGAAACAGATTGTTGCTGCAATAAAATCCCAACATGCTTCTATTTATGAGATTCTGAGTTTATAAAGTAATGCTATTTATAGTAGAAAAATACCAATTACTGAATGTCTTCAAATAAGATCTCTTTATAGGTTCATCTGACTTTTGGGGGAGGGGATGGTTTATGTATGGCTCTCATTCATGTATGGAAGTAAAATGTACTTTTAAGGATTGTGAAGATTAGAAATAACGTCTAAAAGTTCTCTGTTCTTAGCACATGGTGGTGGAAAATAAAATGTAAATAATATTATTTAGGATTTTATTCTTTTTTTATTCATTTAACATTAAGCTCCTTTCAAATTCCAGGCACAGTGATGTTATCTTATTTGAGAACAAATAGAGGAGTTTATAATATAACTTCTGTAGTATGTAATATTTAGTTGCCATAGATCAAGACTTGAATTTTGAGCACAAAACTTTCCAACATTTCAGCTTCTGGAGAAATAAGCTTGTTTTCAATATGTTTATTGCATTTTTCTCTGTGTGTATTTTAGATTAAAAAATATAAAATGCATTTCCCTTTTCACATGTGAAATGCTTCAATTTATCAACACCGAGATATATTAATTAGAATGAGAATACAAAAAAAAAAAAGTCAAAATGGCTAAAATATTAAAACTATGACTCCTTTGGTTTTTTAAACTATCTTTGAAGATTCCCAAGGAATGAAACCAAAGCTTAAATATTTTCTTCCTACCTATGTATTCCCTCTGCAAAATCCCCAAGCAAACTGAGATGCCCAGGGGAGAGATGCACACTCCGTCAATTCTGTTCAGCACTTAAAGTTTGTGGTTTTGTGTGCTACTCTCTCACTTCATTTCAGGGTGGCACATGTCAAAGCTGAAGAAAAGCAAATGACACTACTGTGCTTGGCAGGAATGTAATATGGAGTAACAAGGGCTGTGTCCCGGAAGCTCTGAAGACCCAGGAGATGTTTCTATAGGACCTTCCTCTCTAAAGCTCATGACATAACAAAGGAATCCTCTAAGTAGAAGTGGAGAAGAAAAAGAGGGGTTTCGTTGCCTATGGTATTTGAAAACTTTAAGCAAAAACTGTATTCTATTCTGTTGAAATATTAAAGACAGTGCAAGCCAAAAACATATCAAATTTGTACAAGTTTGCTAATACTTAATAGAAATTACATCAATACTTTGTGAGGAGAAATTGCCCAGGGAGATAATTTTTTTTTTTTTAACTCCAAGATCATTAAGTAACATTTTTAATCTCCTAGGGGGAAAAAAATCAACATCTATATTGGAAAAAGTAATATTTGTTAAGAAAGAATAGTACTCTGCATTTTCTCCCAGGCATCTCATTAATTTTTAGGTATCTTGGTGGGCAGGTTATTGCTCTTCTATCTCATTGACATTTAGCCCTAAGAAGTGCTGATGAAGAAAATAGTTTATATAATATGTAAAAGCCTATTCTCAAGGTTCTTATGTGCCTTAGAATAATATACATACACCTTAATTTGTTTAAAAAATGTCTACATTTTCTACATCAATAGCTTTAACCTTGCATGACATTGTTTTCAGGGTTTTGTTTTGTTTTTTTTCCTTTTAAATGTTAGGACCAGTCTCACAATTACTGTTTCCTAGACTACTGGGCAAATGAAGTCGATCATGTTTTATTTCAATTCTAGTTCTTGAAGCACTTAGGAATCTTTATAGTACCCTGATGTCCATAGAAGGAGTTAAGAGGATTGGTTAATTAGTCAGCAACAAATTTAGAGGGGCAAACTCCTCAAAGAGACCGTCAATTTGCTAGAAAATGTTGGTCTATTTTGCCTGTGGGCTTTTATATATATATACATTTTTTTTTTAAAGTAAGTCTAGGTTAAAAAAAAGTTACTTAAGCTCAGAGAGAAACAGTTTTCATCAGTTAAAAAGTTGCTTTTAAATCACATGAAATAATTTTCCTCTATATAATCTTTTATTTTTTTAGACAACAGGCAAAAAATGCTCCATTTAATGCATTTTTATACATTTATAGTGATAATCATTACCAAGAAATAAAGAATTCAGATAGGTAGTCTTTTAAAGAAGTAGCAGATCATGGTGCACATCTGTTATATTTTAATAAAATATAAAACAGTAGTGATTATTTACATCATCAAGAGGTCTTCTAAGACTATCTTACTAACAATATACTTTTGTTATAATAGATTATCCTCTCTTTAATTAAAAAATTGAAGACCAAAAAGCTTTAAGAGGATTTGACTATTTTCCTTTTGATTAAAAAAAAAAAAACAACTAAGGAATTTAGAACATTAAAGGAAATTCAGTATGTTGAAGTTTTCTTAAAAATTTAGGGTACAGTAATATTTCAAGTGTACTTGAAAGAAAGAGTTGCATATGTACTTTTTAAGTGCTTTTAAAATAAATTTTCTCTAATAATACCATTTATTACTACATTTCCATGACGAATGCTTTTAAAGAGTGCCATCTAGTGCCAATTTTTGAATTGTGATTTATGGATAAGAACATGGGGAATTTTAGACCCAGGAAATGTATGCATCAAACAAGAAGTTATAATTGATAAAAAGTCTGAAGGACTATAACTTGAAAATATTATCAATAATTGGACCTCAAAATTGTGTATGTTTGCATCTTTAAAATAAGGAGTGTTTATATTCATCTGTGCATTCATTCAACAAATACTTCTTGACTTCACATACACAGCAGAGCCTGTTTTAGTCATTGTAGTGAACAAAACAAAATTTCCAGTCATGGAATATTTTAGTTTGGAGAGACGAGTATATAGCATGTTAACCAGTGATAAGTGCTGTGAGTGCTATGAGTGCAGGGAGAGTGGGTGTTGGGGTGGAAGATCTCATATTCGAGTGAGTGCCCGAAGGAGATGAGGGAGTGTCCCAGGCACTGGAAACACCTACTGCAAAGGCAATGGGAATGGACCTAGTATCTTTGAAGAATAGCAAGGCCCTGTGGCTGGAGTAGAGCGTGAGGACAGTTGAAATGAAGTCAGACATAAAAAGAGGGTTAGATCAAAGAGATCTTTGTAGGAACTTTGCTTTTTCTCTGAGTAGGATGGGAAGACATTGGAGGGTCTGAGCAGAGTAGTGATATAATCTTCAATTTTGACAAGATCATTTGGTGGCCATGTTGAGACTAGATAGAGGATGGTGTGATGGGAAGCAGCCTTAGGAAGCAAACACTATCATCCAGCAGAAGAGGTGATGGTGCTTTGGGTTACAGTGGAAGCAATGAGGATGTTTTGAAGTGGTCAGATTTCTAGATCTATATTGTCGGTAGAGCCAAACTAACTTTTTAATTGACTGGTTATGGAGGTGTGAAAGAAAAGAGTAATTAATAATGACTCCTCGGATTTCTGGCCCGACTGGAAAAAGGGATGGTAGTCTATTAACTGAGATGGGAAAAACACATGAGGAGCACATTTTGGGGGTGGGAGAGAATAAGGAACTTGATTTTGGATATGTCAGCTTTGAGATATCTCAGTTATCAACATCTAAATTATGGGAAAATTCAACTTTTCTCTTGTGATTCAGCAAGCAATAAGCTCATCACATATCAAAACCCACTTATTTTAGGAGAATCCATTTCTCAGGAGGGAGTAAATATATGACCCCTGATTATTATGTTGTGGGCTTATAAATCAGGAAGCCTGAGAGGACCAACACTGTCAAAACTTCTCAAGGCTGTTATCCCCAGACAATTCTCAGTCTTCTTTGGTGATTTCTTATTTTCCATTCTATTTATTTCTTGTTCTCTAATGAGACCTCAAAGTACTTGATGGGGAGGGCTCTATTGCAAAGCATCTGAGTTCCTCATTTTATTTTATTTATTTAATTTTACTTTTATTTAATCTTTATTGTATTTTTTTCCGTGACCCTTTAGTCCCCTTATACCACCATCACCCACCGCCCCATCCCCCCAAATCAACAATCACCACACTGAGTTGCTCATTTTAAAGGCATGAATATAAAATAAAATCACCCCTAAGGCTCATTAATTGCACGGGGTGGAAATCTTTCCTTTGGAAGCCATTTGTTCAGTCCAGGAACAAATTCATGTAGAATCTTACCTATCACAAATCCCTGCTGATTTTTAGAGCACGCTTTAAAATATTTATCTTTTAAATTCTAAATTCTTATAGTCTAAGGCCTATAACCACTTCACTTTATGCTTCAGGTAACCCAATGAAAGAAGAAAATGAAAGGCATTAAGAAAAGTCTTACAGAAGAATATCTATACCTGGACTTTTCTCACCAAGTAGAAGGATGCATTTTTCCACTTCATACATCTGTAACTTTATTTTTATTATCATACTGCAACTGTAAAATCTTTAAAGTTTGCTTAGTTCTCACCAGAGAAAGTACAGATGTCTCGCTATTTAATATGCTGTCACAAGATGTTAAAATACAGATTATTTCAAGGCAAGAACTCCCACCGATAGTCCAGAATTGCTGTTTACCTGCAGTTGTGGAAACACCAGACAACTTCTGTAGAGCGGGACTTGCTGTTGTACTGAGACACATAATACAGAAGTCATATGAAGCAGACCCCTCAAAGAAGGAAATTTTGGAACTTCTGGGTTTTAAAAAGACTTGCTTGAAAGCCTGTGCTGAAGTAAGTAAAATGTGTTTTTTCTGTTATTTAAAGCCATATAATGATAACACATTCATTTAAACACTAACTTTTTGCTGGAAACTAGGATTTCATTCCCTTAAAACACCTACAATAACGAATGAAATATAAGGTAGTCCATCATGTATGCCAATATTTCAGGGCAGTATTGAAAAATAAGAATTTAAGATTTATTTTATGAAGTTTGGAGATATTTTAGAGAATGACGTCTTTGTTATCTTAATTACATTCCTCAATGTAATCAAATTAGATTGAGGATTTTTAAAAGAAACTTTTACATATGAACAGGAGCTTAAGTAGCAATGCTTTGGAAACCCACCTTTTTTTGAGGGGGGCTGTACTTTAAAGGCTTTGGGAAGTAGAGTTTTATTCAGTAAGAGGGTACAGGTGAATGGCATATATTCCAGATACAAGAATGCTAAATCTCCATTGATGTTATCATTCCTGAAACCTTGTAAATATGTCTTGATATAGCATAAAAACCTAACCCAGGGATGGTTAAGCTTAAGACAAGTTTAACCCAGTCTTATTTCCCAGTAGAAAGTTGTTTCTCTTCAAGCTTTTTTGGAAAGTTAAGAATTATTTCATCTCGTTTTGTTTTGTAGGTTAGTCAGTGGACCAGGCTATGTGAACTCACCATCCCTTTAGCTATTGAGAAATTTCTCAAAGAATCTTCTGACCAGTGCCCACCTATCCCTGCAGAAATACTACAGCTAGAGAAAAAGCTTAGCGAGCCTGTTAGAGTGCATAACGATGACAAACTCCGTCGGCAGAAGCTGAAGCAACAGAAGGCTGCCAGAGTGGGGCCTTCCCTTGCTAAGGAAAAAATAAAGAGCAAGGTCCATGGACAGGAAATATCTGAAGAGTTGGACTCTTCATCCAGGAGCCTAGAACTGAAAGTGGCATTCGCAAAGCTCACAGTACAAGAAGAACCAGCTACCACCAACAGAGAACCTTCTCACATCAGAAAAGCAAAGGCCTCTGACCTTCCGCCTCTGGAGCATGTGTTTGCAGAAGGCCTGTATTTCACTTTGACAGATATTGTGCTCTTGCCCTGTATACATCATTTTTTGGTAAGATTTATCTGGAGTGGATACATTACTGTAAGTTTCAGTGTATAAAATTGCCTAGGTTTAAATCCCAATTCCACTTATTATTATTATGCTCCTGGGCAAGTTATTAATATTTGTCTCCATTTTCTTATCTGTAAAATAGAAATAATTATATTCAATGTGAGGAATAAATGATAACTTGTGTGAATTGTGGACACCAGTGTTTGGCACATAGTTAAGCTGTCAAATGTTAGTAATTATTACAGCTTTTAATTTTGAGTTGCTAAAATGTTATCAATTGTTATGATAATTTTAAATTGCTATTGTGATTACCTTCTAATATTACAGAGTCCGCTGTTAAAGCACTGTAAAATCTTGTCAGCTATATTTTATAATTTAGTAGTCACTTAAAATTCTAATTTGATTGTGTTAAGTATTATCAAATTAGAAATATTTTATCCTCATTCATATGCTTCTCTGTTGTCCATAAGATTACATGAAACATTTTCTTTCCTAGTAGGTTAATGGAGATAATATATATATTACATAATATATATAATATGGGGGAGATTATATATTATATATTCCCCCATCTGTCACCCCCGCCCCATATGGAGGGAAAAAAACAAGGTTAAAAATAATATCCAAGTGAATATAGGAAGCCATAGCTCTCTGCAGCTTTCCAATTGGTTTTCAAGAGCTGCATTTTTCCTGCTTTGAAATATTTCACCTTTTCCTCTACTAAGGAATCAGATACCAGATTTCATTCTCATTATATATTATCAACACTTCAGGTATCTCTACTGACAGATGAGAAAAGACTTCTAAGGAAAATCTATATATTTGGAAGCCAGAGCTTTACTAAATCAGGTGGTATTAATCAATTGGCATTTTTCTTAAAGAATATTCTCTTCAAATGGAAATAAAACAAGATTGGAAACCAAAATAACTTCAGAGTTAAAGGATGTGTAAAAGAGAGATTAAGGAATTGTTTAGATGTTAATTAGTATTTTAAATGTCATATGTATTCATATTGTCCATAGAGCTGGATGGGGAAAAAATATATTTTTTTGTCAAATGATTTCTAAAATCTCTTATGACTGACTTGTCCCCTCTTACCAACTTCAGTCATTAGAACAGTCATTTGATACATGTTATAAAGTACTGTTGTTGGTCTTGAATAACTGTATTTGCTTCTAATGTCTTAAAAATTGAACCAAAGAGGCACATCCATTAATTCACTCATTTTAGAAATTTATTGAAAGCCTACTATATATGCCAGGCACTGCTGTAGGCACTAGGAATATAGCGATGAACAAGACAAATAAGGTCCAGCCCTCATGGAGTTAATATTCTAGTAGGAGAAGATAGAAACGAATATGTAAATAAATAATGTATACCTAAATAATATAATTGATACAGAAAAAGTAAAACAAGGTGATAGAGAAGATGAGTATTTGCTTTCAAACTCAACAAAACAAAAAATTGGATGCACGTGCATGAAGGTAATTTTAGATCATTGTTCAGACATACATCTTCAACTAGTTTGCATTTGATTTTAGCTTACTTTAAATACTGTTCACCTGATTAGGGTCAATTGAGGTTGAAGGATTCCAAATTGAGAGAGTTTTTCCTCCTCTTCAATCAGGCAGGACATTTACTGACTCCTACTGAGGAAATCTACCTAATACTACAAAGAGAAACTTGTTTTCAGCTCAATTTTAAATAGAGGAGAACTTGTACACTCAGCCTTCTCTATTACATGTATTCTATGATTAAATTTTTCTGTTGACATTTATATGTAAACTAATTCTCAAAATATTTTCTTTTGTTTGTTTGTATTTTTCCTGGATCTGTACCTTTTCTTTCAGGAATTAATCTTTCTTTGCCAAGGCTTGATGTTATCTTTGTTATATTCATTTTCCTCCTTTAAGTCATCTTGGGTTATGAAGCAGTCATTTTGGTTCAGACGGCAGTGACTATGATGCTGAGGCTTTATGTTTGCCTTCACACACATTGAGGTGATGGAGTAGTAGTCCTGGTGATCAGAATCAAGTTCTTGATCAGGAATCAAGGTCAAGTTACCAGGCTTGGATTAGAAACACAGAGCTGAACCTTAAGTCAGGATATCTGATCCCAGGAATAAGGCCAAAGATATAATGGAGCAGTCAATTTTGCTAAGTCAAGGTTTGGAGTGCTAGAGGTCAACATTCAGAGAGTTAGAGGGAATACCCAATTCTGTTAAACATAATAAAGCCAAAGATAAGCAACAGCAGGTAGAGGTGCTGTGTCTAACCCTGCTCCAAGTCCCTCTTCTGCTTTAGTGGGTGGTAGTTTGCAGTGTTATCCCCTGACTGGCCCAGCCCTTCTCTGTGGAAGGTGCCTTACCAAACCCTCTCCGCTGCAAAGTTTTCAGCGCACTTCTACAGAACTATTTAAAAGATCATTCTCCTGGAATGCAGAGAAGTTGCAGTTTTATGAAATCTTTTTGTAATTTTGAACACTTATGATTTAATTTTCTACATTTTAACTTCTAATGCTTTGAATTCAGTTTTTTAAAAGTACAACACCTAGTTATTGCAAAAGCAAAATCATTGTAGAAATTGATTTTTGAGCAAAATATTAAATACTTCTTTGTCCCCATTGACATAAAATTGGGGAAAAATGGGAGTCTCACTATTGGCTGGCGTATTGCAAAAATTATGGATGTCATTTATTTAGTGGTTAATTTATATTTTCCATATTCACTCCTATGCATTAGGTCCTTAAAAGTTTTCAGTTTTAACCCACTGGTTATAATCTCTAAGTAAAAAACAAAGCTGTGATTATATTTCTTCTTAGGTAGGTTGTTTACAATTTTGTACCCTGCTTATTACGCTGCTCACCTATGACATATTTTGAAAGAGTAGACCTAAGAAAATTATGTAAAATAAGTATAAAATATTTTATATAATAAGTGATTGGACAGCAATGCAGAGGAAGAATATTTTAGATATATGTAACATGTTGCTTCTCTTTTTATTCAGACGTTTTTCTGCCCCTATTTTAAAGCCACTAGGATTTCATTTTTTTTGCTCTTGGTTGTATAATTTTTGCTATTTTAAGAATAAATTCTCTTGTTTTATTGTCCTTAAATAACTCTGTGATATTTATAATGGCTTTGATCTTACCAGTCAGGTAAGTTTTTGAAAATATCTTTTTAAGGACAAATTTAATTTTTATTTCACATATTTTTCATTAGCCACTTCCTTAAATATATCTTCTTGAGTGTAATGAATGTGGTTCGGTACCTCCTGAGCTGTGTGGATATTGTAAAGCAGCCTGGCATGTTGATTCCATGGGATGGATGATCTGTCATGCAGAGTAAAACTTCTCAATGTCTTTTAAACATGAATTATTGTTATATAGTCACAACTTATTTTCAAAAAGAAGGAAAGATACTACATATATCTAACAAATAAGAATAAATCACTACCGAGGAGAGCAAAGGAAAGGTGAGGAAATGAGAACATTTTCTATTTGATTAATTTATCATGGCTTAAACTCAATTCCCTTAGCATAAAATTTATTTCCAGGCAGTTAAAAATTTTGATGAGAATTATTAAGTTTTTGGCTCCTAGAGCACCATTTAGACAGTGTTTTTCAAATGCTACTTCCATAGAAAGTAATGCATTTTCCAAGGTGATTGAACATATACATACAAGTATACATCTTTATTTTATACTCTCTCTCTTTCTATATATATATATTTACAGTATAATTCATGCTACTACATGCTGTGTACTTTCATATTTTCTATTTTATTTCAAATGTTTTTATTCCATTCTCCCACCCCCTTCCCTTTGGCAATCATTAGCTTGTTCTCTATATCTATGGGTTGGTTTCTGTTTTGTTTTTTTTAATTAGTTTTTATTAGACTCCACTAATAAGTGAGATAATATGGTATTTGTCATTCTCTGTCTGACTTACTTCACTTAACGTAATACCCTCTAGATCCATCCATGATTTTGCAAATGGCAAGATTTCATTCTTTTTTATTTCCGTGTAATATTCCACTGTACCACTTTCTTTATGCATTCATCTATTCATCTAATGGTGGACACCTAGTTTGCTTTCATATCTTGGCTATTACTAGTCATGCTAAAATGAACATAGGGGTGCATATATCTTTTCGAGTTAGAGTTTTTGTGTTCTTCAGATAAATACCCAGAAGAGAAATTGCTGGGTCATATGGCAATTCTATTTTTAATTTTTTGAGGGATCTCTATACAGTTTTCCATAGTGGCTGCACTAATTTACAATTCCACTAACAGTGCACAAGGAATCCCTTTTCTCCATATCCTCACCAGCACTTGTTATTTGTTGATTTATTGACAATATCCATTCTAACAAGTGGAAAGTTATATCTCATTGTCTTTTTAATTTGCATTTCTCTGACGATTAGTGATGTTGAGCATTTTTTCATATATCTGTTGGCTATCTGTGTATCCTCTTGAGAGAAATGTCTATTCAGGTGCTCTGCCTATTTTTTAACTGGATTGTTCATTTTTTAAAATTTTTGTTTTTGTTTTTATTGGTGTTGTATGAGTTATTTATGTATTTTGTATATTAGCCTTGTATCAATGTATCATTTGTGAATATCTTCTCCCATTTAGTAGTTATTTTATCATTTTATTGATAATTTTCTTCATTGTGAAATTTTTTTTAGTTTAATATAGTCCCATTTGTTTCTTTTTTCTTTTGTTTCCTTTGTCTGAGAGATATATCTAAAAAGATATTGGTAAGAGTAATGTCAAAGATTTTACTGCCCATGTTTTCTTCTAGAAGTTTTATGATTTCAGGTCTAACATTTAAGTCTTTAACCCATTTTGAGTTTCTTTCTTACATAGTATGAGAGAGTGGTCCAATTTCTTTTCTTTTCCTTTTTTTTTTTTTTTTTTGCATATATCTGTCTAGTTTTGCCATCACCTCTTATTAAAAAGACTGTCTTTATCTCATTGTAGTGTTGCTGCCTTTGTCCTAGATTGATTAACCATATAAGTGAGTATTTACGTGTGGGATCTCTATTCTATACCATTGAGCTATATATCTGTTTTATGCCAGTACCATATTGTTTTGATTATTGTACCTTTGTAGTATAGTTTATATCAGGGAGCATAATACCTCCCACTTCATTCTTTCTCAGGATTTGTTTGGTTATTAGGGGTCTTTGGTGGTTCCATGTAAATTTTAAGATCAGTTGTTCTAATTTTGAGAAGATTGTCATTGATATTTTAATAAAGATAGCATTGAATCTGTATATTACTTCAGGTAGAGATGACATTTTAACAACATTTATCCTTCTAATACATGAGCAACGTATACCCTTCCATTTATTTGTATCTTACTCAGTTTCTTTCTTTAATGTCTATAGGTTTCAAAGTACAGGTCTTTCACCACTTTGGTTAAATTTATTCCTATTTTATACTTTTTGATGTAATTGTATATGGAATTATTTTCTTAATTTCTTTTTCCAATAATTTATTGTTGGTGTTAAAAAGAAAAGCAAAAGATTTCTGTACATTGATTCATATTTTGCAACTTTACTGAAGTAATTTATTAGTTGTAATAGTTTTTTGGTAGAGTCTTTAGGATTTTCTATATATAGTATCATGTCATCTGCAACTAACAAGTATTTTACTTCTTTCTTTCCAATTTTGATGCCCTTTATTTCTTTGTCTTGTCGGATTGATGTGGTTAGGACTTCCAAAAATATATTGAATAGAAGTAGTGAAAGTGGGCATCCTTGTCTTGTTTCTGATATGTTATTTCATTTTTTTAAAATTCCAAGTTGATTTCACAACCTCCTAATGTGTCATAAAAAACAGTTGGAAAAATTGGTGATTATTCTTTGAAGATAATAAATGGTTCCTTGATAATTGTTTATGCACTAAACAGCCCGTATTTTTTGCAAGGCAGTATTTTAAGTGTTGCAGTGTACAAAGAGAGTTGAACATACCCTGCCCTTATAGTAAATTATGTGTGCTTACTTAACCTTAAAGAACAGTTAAAGTAGAATAAATATATGTACCCATGTGAAGTTTTAAATTTATTTTCTGTGCTCTCTGGCTCCTGCTTTGGTACGGATTATTGCTAGATATATTCGTAAAAATTTTCTGTAACTCGACTTTTACTTATCTGTTCATAATCATTAGTCATAATCTGTTTGTGACATTATAGCTGTTTCTATGGAAACAACATTCAGTGCCTCGCAAAAAAGCAAGAACATTCTAATTTTTAAGGAAATTGAAGTTTGCTGGTAGGGCTAGGGAAAAAGCAAAGAGAAAACAAAAAGATAGTAATTTACATCAAGAGTAATGGTTTCAAATTGTTTTAATTTGAATAAATAAAAGCCTGTATTTTTATTTATTTACACTATATCATAATAAAAAGAAACAAACTACTGATAAACACAACTACGTGGATGAATCTCAAAAACATAATGCTAAGTGGGAAAAAAAGACACATTTTATTATATCATTTACATGAAATTCCAGGGAAGGCAAAACTATACACATAGTGAGTAAAAGCACAAAACTTTGTGCTTTTAATTCATACTTATGTAGAATCTTGAAAGTAAAATTAGTGATTTACTCACTTATACACATAGTGAGTAAAATAGTGGTTACCTGCAGCTGACTGAGGGAGCAGAGATTGACTGTAAATGGTCACAAGGGAACTTTTTGATGTGACTTAATTGTTCTAGTTCTAGCTTATGGTGGTAGTTGCACAACTGTATAAATTTACTAAAACTCATTGTTTGAACTGTACACTTAATATGTGTAAATTTGATGGTATGTGAAGTTACTTCAATGTAGCTGTCATAAACAAAAAACATATAACAATGTACTTTGTTCTTTTCCTGCCTAGCTAATTATCTGCAAGAAACTCTCTGAAAAGCTGGTAGAATTTCCACTGCTAGCTGCTTGGTACCAGAGGATTCAGGAAGTGCCAAGAGTAAAAACAGCAGCTTCTCAGTGTGGGATCCACTTTTTCCACTTACCAGAGTTGCTGACCACCTCAAATGAACTGCATCCAAATTTAAATGAGGCCACAGGTGTAGAGGAACAAAATGAACCTTCATTTATAGGAGGACCGAGACCCACTATGACCAAGTTAATGGTACTTAATTATTTTCATTAAAATTTTCTTTGAAAAATTCCATGTAATAATGTTACCTTAACTTGTAATCATTTGTTTTGTTGACATTATTTGCTATAAATTTTATTTGTAGCTATCTTATATCACTCTTGACCAATTCATACTTTTATTAACCCTTGCATTTAAGTGAGATAAAGTAAACTGAAGATTTTTAATATTATGTATTTTTGAAGCCAAAAATGTCAGATTATATATTTCTAAACAGTAATTTTTTAACTTTTTTTTTAATATTCAAGATATCAGGGTCGTATCACACCCGGTCAAGTTTATTGTTTTACCTGATGGTTTTCTGTTGCAAGGACTTGGTTTCAGGTTGTTGTTTTTTTAATTTTGAGGTGATAATTTAAATTAAAGAAATAGGAAGATGAATATCTCCATTTACTTTCTAAGATTTTTTTCTAAATTTAAGATTTTTGAATTCTTTGAATTTTTATTTTATTCTTTGATTATAGTAATTTATAGTTTTCTCTCTTTGCAGCACAATTTATTTCTAATAGTACTATTTGTAAAAGTTTTCATCAATAAGCTTTCTTTTCTCTACCGTTGTAGACAATCTACAAAAATATTTTGCTTTTAACTAGATTATTTGAAGACTTATTTGAATAGAGTATTCGTGAAGTAGTTTAAGCTATTCATCTGAGTTGTACTGGAAAAATTATTAATTATATTTTTCTACTTGAGTTAGGAATTATTTGAGTTCTAGAGTTAACAGAATATTTGTGGATTTAGAAAAGCATGAGATGATTTTAGTAATGACACCAGTTCCTTATTTCTTCAGCTCAGCTTTGTTAGCCTAGTGATGAAACAATGAAATAGCATTACAATATATAGTTGATTTCAGAAGCTATCAAGGCATGTCCCAAGTTTGATGTGCCTTGATCAGATGGTTGTACTGTTCACCTCTTGAGTGCTCTTAAATCAATAATCATCAGGAGAGTAATCTGCTTTGTATTAAAATACTAATTTTTAAAATTTTAACAAACCAAAACTTTGTGCTTTTAATTCATGCTTATGTAGAATCTTGAAAGAAAGATTAGTGATTCAGATTTTTCTGCATATGCTTTTCCAGCAATAAAGTGATAACAGGAAAGACATTTGCATTTGATACACTTAAAATATTTAAAGCAGAGAAAGATAAATAAATTTAAATTCAGAAAATTTAATAATCAATTGTAAAATTAAGCCCTTTTGTAATAATATAAAAATAAAAAATAATATTGAATTTTTAACTTAGAGGTGATTTGTTAGTTCAGGTCCTCCAAAAAGGGTTAGAGTCCAAGATAAGGTTAAATGTGCAAGAGGGATACTGAAGAAAACATCTGTGAGGAGGCTGGGGGAGCCTTCAGTCATGATGTAGGTTTGACCCCTGTGCATGAGTACGAAAAGAAGGAAGGATGGGTATACAAAATCTTAGACTTAAAGGCAGTCTAAAAGTTTTCACAGGCCAATGGGGAATCATTGAGCTGGAATCATCTGTCAGAGGGTTTCATATTCTAATGAATGGGTCTGCCTTAGTATCTCTGCCAGTCCCTGTCATTGACTTGGGAGCAGTATGCGCAAAGACAATGCTAGGGATCAGGTGACTTGGATTGTAGGCTCCTACATTGTGACCTTCAAAGTCATTAAACTGAAGGATAACAATTTCTGCATTTATAAATAAGGAGAGTATAGTAGTCATTCTGTATGATTCATTTTTATTTTAAATCTTATGGTTGTATAAAAGTTGACTGGGATATTACATTTATAATTTGGAAAAAAGAATGCTCAAATATGAGAATAAGTTAAAATTTTTATTTTATTTAATTCAAAGTTGATTATTGATACAATATAGATAAAATAAAATTTCCTTTTTTGAACAGGGCATTGTTTTTGCTACTTGTGGATTTCTCTATTGCCATATATTTTTGAAAGGCAGTAAATATATTAAATTAATATAGTATCAGAATATTGATTTTAATTATACAGTAACTTTATAGCCACAGTATTTTTTACTAATTACACGAGGTCACATTAAATTAGTGCTAATGGAAGGATAAAATAGTAAAGTATTTCTTAGGAACACTTATATCTCAGCTTTTTTTTTTCCTCTTCATTATTTTTTGGCACAGTCCTATCTCTGTAATTTTCCTTATTTTCCAGAAGTTTTACATATATTTATTTTGTCAGTCCAAAAAATATACATGTGTTTACAAAATACCAGGCACTGGTCTGAATATTGGATATACAAAGAAAAAAATTGGACTCTTCTCTTGTTGCTTCCATTCTGGTGGAGAAAGTAAATTAAACATACTGGGTAATGATAAGTGCTATAAAAAAATAACGTAGGATAAGAGAGTAGAAGTGATTGGGGGAGGAGTCCTTTTTTGGTAGGATGGTAAAGAGGGCTTATCTGGTTAGGTGAAGACATTGAACAAATAACCTGAATGAATTGAAGATTTGGAGAAAGTGTTCTAGGCCGAGGATTCCACTAATAGAAAAACCCTGCAAAAATCTAGAGAGGCGAAGTAGATCAGGAGTCGCCCAGGCCAGGGAGCTGAAATGGGGAGGATGATGGAGAGTGTCTGCTAATGGGTATGGGGCTTCTTTTTGAGATGATGAAAACATTCTCAAAATAGATGTTGATGATGGCTGCCCAACTATAAATATTCTAAAAACCATTGAGTTGTGTACTTTAAAGGGATAAATTTTATAACATATAAATAATATGTCAATATATTCTTAAGAGACCCTAAAATAGGAATGATTTCGGTGACATGAAGAATAACAAGAAGTTCAATATGGCTAGACTAGAATAAGGAAAACAAGAGAGAGGTAAATGACGTCAGAGACATAATATGCTTGTCTTTCTGGAGGCAAGTGAATGCTCTAGACCTCTAGATCTATAAAGCTATAGCTCTACCCCAACAAAAAGTATACGTATACTATTTCCTTTGGGACAGGAATTCAGCTAGTTTTCATAAAAGAAAACAATTTCATGAACTAAGTGATATAAACAAGTTAAATAGAACTCTCAGGGATTTTTCTTTTGAATAAGTTATTACCAGAGATTTTTAAAAAAACAAAAACCTTTTGCAACAACATGGATGGACCTGAAGAATATTATGCTAAGTGAAATAAGCCAGTCAGAGAAAGACAAATACCATATGATTTCACTCATATGTGGAATCTAATGAATAAATTGAACTAACAAGGAAAATGGAGACAGACTCATACATGGAAAATAGGATGACAGCTGGGGGAGAGGTTAGGGGGTGGAAAGATTGCACAAAAAGGAAAAAGGACCCATGGACACAGATAACATTGTGGTGATTGCTGGCAGAGGGAGGTGTAAGGGGTCTAAATGGTAATGGGAAAAATACAATATAGATTAAATTTAAAAAATAAAGTATTGCTTCACAGGCAAAAATATTATTTAAAAAATATGTGAACCACGGATATTTATTTGTGGGCTGTGGACCTAGAATTTGGAAGGAGTTTGGGAATCCAGGTGTATGCCATGCCACTTATCTGTTGATCAAATCAATAAATGTACAACTTTTAAGATGGGAAAGAAGCCTGAGAATTTTTTTATAAATTGAAAATTGGTCCTCATTCTTAAAAATATTGGCAAGTATTTGTTAAACCAAAGAAATCCCTTTCTAGAAACATTGCTGGCACTCATGAAAGATTGGTATGGATGATATTTTAGGGGTTTATGCTGAAGTGGGGGTTTTTGGTCTTATAAAATATAGCTCCTAGGCTATGGCAGTTTTCATATATGTAAACAGATATTGATGCATATATGCAGAGTCAGTTTTATATCACCTCTTTGTGGATTGTTTTTTATAAAATTTTATCCTCAGGTGGCTTTTTTCTTTGACACCCAATATATTTCTAGGTAGCTCATTACTTCTATGTATTTTTCAGGTGATAATTGAAATAGTGTAACATTACTTTTTACTATCTCAGTATTAAAAATAATAGGAAAGTAACTGCTGTCAAAAAAACTCAATGTGTTATATTTATTATGTAACCAAATATTTTGAGTAAACCTGATGATTGTTGATATTTCTGTTCTTGGTTGCTGGTATAAAAAATAGAAATTAGGTCTTGTAGAACACAATAGAATTTTATTAGTTCATTAATTTATAAAGGGCCTATTTTCTTTTTTAGGAAAAAGGCATTGAAGTGGTATTTTCTCCTCATCCTTCCCCTACTTGGACCCTTGATTGGAACAGTCTTCCTGCAGCAGTGAGCCCAAAGGAAGGTGAGTTTCTTTTCTTTTTCTTTCTTTCTTTCCTTTTTTTTTTTGCCTTTAAATTTTACTCTTAATTTGGATCATCTTCAGGTCTATCTCGTAATTCTCCAATTCTCTTTTTTTGTTATATCTAAAATTCTGATTATCCTATCCATTGAATTTTCATTTTATTTTTATTATAAAAATTTCACATGCACACATCATTCATATTTAATATTTCCCACATTTATCAAACATTTGTTTCATTTATTCCTTTTTCCTTTGGTAAAGTATTTTGAAGCAAATCCCAGAGAACATATTATACTATAGTACACACAGCTAAAATATATTTACATGTAAAATAATCACCATGTAATGTTCACACATAATAAAAATTCACAAAAATTCCTTGGTCATCTAATAACTAGTCCATAATCATTTTCCCCACTTGTTTAGAATATTGTTTGAAAAAATATATAATTATAGATTTTAGTTGAATATATTTTTTATTATTAGAAATTATATTTGATTTGTTTTTGATAATGTTTTCCTTGCTCATGTTTTGATTCCTTTTTATAATTTTTTAAACATTGATTATATAGCATGGACAAGGGTGAACTACCAAAACTAGAATTTATTTATAAAAAATTGTATATTTATTCTTATATGTTTAAACTTTACTCATCTTCCAAGTACTCTTCATTTGATGCATAACACCTATCAAGATTTTTCCCACTACTGAAAACAGTTTTTGAATTTGTCGATTTTGATGCCTTTCAGTGCTTCTGCCTCTTTTTGTTTTACCTCTTCCACATTGGCAAAACATTTCCCTTTGAGGACTTTTTTCACCAGGGGAAACAACAGCAAAAGAAAGGTTACCCTGGGTGAGACTGGGTGAATAGGGAGGGTGGGGCACAGGCAGCATGCTGTTTTTGCTCAAAAACTGTTGAACACTCGGTGTGGTGTGGACAGATGCACTGGTAAATCACCCATCATGAAACGGGCAAAGGCATTTAAACAGTCTCAAAAAATATTCGTTGAAGCTGAACACACCTCTCTCAACACCAGCTCGTACACTAATGCAGATGGGTCCCTAGAACACTCCCGTAGCAGGGGAATCCTATACTCTAAGGGGCATGCTCTCCAGAAGAGAATTACATTGTTTTTGGGTCCCCTCTCATATTTGTTATTTCTAAACAGCTGATGTCAAATCTAATTCTGCTATCTGTTATTTCTGTTGACTTTACTGACGGTTTCTTATTTTCCTGTTAGTTTTGTAATTTTAAAATTGTGAATTCATTTTAGGTTACCTAGATCTGTTGCAGTCTTGTTGGTCTTTGTGGAGTTAAGAGGAAATTCTCATAGAAAGAATTATTATTTGCTTTGCTGGGCACCTCAAATTAGAATTTAAGACCACTCAACATTAATTTTTCAGTTTGAGATTCCTTCAGCCTTTTCTATCAGGAGCTGAGGTTTAAATAAACAGGTTACCTATCATTTTCCTTTGCTGTTGAGTAGATTTTTTTTAATGCATTTTTTCATAGGGAATATAGGTTTTCAAAGTTTCTGTTTTCATGTAGTGATATTAGTTCCAATTCTCACCATGCTAGGTAGGAATCAAGGACTAGCCTCACTTCTTTGTATTACTGTGAAAGCCTAGTTTCCTATTATTAGCAAATACCCTCCTGGCAGCTATGGTATCAGTTTAAGATTATTGCACAGCTTTTCAGTTCCTTAACCCCTTGTAAAGGCCTTACGGATTTTTCTTACTCTTGGAAATCCAGTTAGACATATAAAGAATGACTGTTGAAATTTAAATATCATTTTAGATATTTTATGTGGAGCACTTTTTTGTAGCTCAGTGTTTTATATATTTAATTGTTCATGTATTCTTTAGTTTTATACTAAGCCAAATATAACTTCATTTTCAAATGTTCTTTGCAATCATTTGTGTTTCTTTTTCATATTGTCTTCTGTGATGCTTCCTGATATTGCCTGTATCTCACTGATCAATTCTGTTCTCTCAGTCAAGGAAATATTTAGGATATTCTAGAATGGGAAAAGATTATGTAGAGCAGTTGAAATCTCTGCATCAAAGATATTATATAAAATAAAATTCATTTTTTGGTCTTTTATGAAATACGTGGAAAATAGTAACTAACGACTATTAATGTTTTAATTATAAATAGTTTGACATAAAAAATCTAAATGTTTGAAAACATTTTAAAAAGTTTATTTATTCTACTTTTAATTGGATTTTATATACTCTTTAATTATAGTATAGATTTTGAACAGTTTTAACCTATAATTTACTATAGCTTACTACATAAAAATCAGCTTTTCATTAATATTTATCAAGAAATGAAAATAGAGTTTTATAAGTACCACATACTTTGCTTATCCATAATTAATTTACTATGAGGCCAAAATAACATTTTTACTTATATGAGCAATCAATTAACTCAGAAATCTGACATTAAGCATTCATGTCTAGTTGTTTTACTGGTTAGAAGCACATATCTAATGCGGTTTATGGAATTAATCACTCATTATGTTCTTATATATGGATCACCTTGTTTACATAAATATTATGACAAAGATGAAGTTATCACAGAAGAGATACATGGTAAACTCATATTTCATTTGCTGTCTCTTAAAAAATTTATATTCTCTTTAAACTAAGACAGCATTGTGACATTTTTACTTTGTTTTCATTTCTGGCAATTTCAATATCACATGGCAATAGGATTTTTGTGAAATGAGATTATTATACTTGGGGGTGTGGAGGTTACCATGAAAGTCATGATTTGTGCTCTGGTACTTTCTTTTAGGAGCAATTGAATTGTGGGAAATTATTTTTAGCATTTGGTTCATTTGGATATTGCGAAGACCGACTCCTACTGAATTTATTGAATTTCATCAAGGTTGTAAAAAATCATTTTCTTTATTAGTAAAGACTGTATATGTAGACTCATTATGGAGCCTAATATATTTCCCAAGCTTCTCTAATTTTCTATCCTCTGCTTTTACACATTTTTCTCTACATCTTACATACCTGAACATTCCACTGTTTTCCTTTTACAACCTATATTGACTATCTCCATGCCTTCACTTTTGTTTTTCCTCCAGCTTTGAATATTCTTATTTCTACTTTCCATCCTTTTGAAATTGTACTCATCTCTTCAGGATCACTCAAACATGCTTCCTCATTAAGCTTTCTTCATGGACTATGAAGTCGGCCTGCCTGAGTTTAAAACCTGGACTACTTACTAGCTACATAACCTGTACCCAGATTCTCAACTTCTTTATACCTCTATTGCCTCATCAGTAGAATGGGGATAATACTGTCTTTCTTATGAGTTTGTTGGTATAGTCAATGAATTAATAACAGGGTGAGACAAAAGTAGGTTTGTAAGTTGTGAGTTTGTGAAACAGAGTTTTTTCTTGTATTATTATTATTTATCAATTACTGTATTATTTTCCATATAAACTACCATTCACCTATTTTGCCTCACCCTGTATATAAAGCACTTACTACAGTGCCTAGTTAATAGTAAGTGCTAAATAATACTAATATAGTAGTCAGAATTTATTATTCCCTTTCAACATTCCCTTAGTACTTTATTATATCTCATTTTTGGTACTTACAGTATGCTTCTCTTACACTATAATTACTTAGATGCATGTTTTTCTTTTCCAAGACTGTGAACTCTTTGAACAAAGGATTTCGATATATAAGTACTTAAATACATTTTTATTAAATTGAATTGAGACTATAGAACTTCCCAAATTTCTGTTTTAAAAAAACTTTTCTTTTTAGTTTTTAAATCATGTTTATTCTATTACAGTTGTCTCATTTTTTCCCCCTTTGCCCTCCTCTGCCCATCCACCCCGCCCACCTCTCCCACAGTCAATTCTCACACTATTGCCCATGTCCATGTTATTTGTCTAGTCCCTTCTCCTTCTTTCCACCATTGTCCCCCTTCCCCATCCCCTCTGGTCACTTTCAGGCTGCTCCATGTCTCCGTGCCTGTGGTCTGTTTTGTTCGTTAGTTTATTTTGTTGAACAGATTCCACTTATAGGTGAGGTCATATGGCATTTTTCTTTCACCAACTGGCTTCTTTCACTTAGCATAATATTCTCCACTTCCATCCATCTTGTCGCAAAAGGTAGGAGTTCCTTATTTCTATCTTTTTATAAATACAGGTTGATTTTATTTATTTTTTAATGTCAAATCCATTATAAAATATTAAAAAATTTAAATCCATTATAAAGTCTCAGCAGTTAAAACAACATGGCACCAGCACAGAAATAATCAACTAGATCAATGAAATAAAATGAGCATTCTAGAAACAAATATATATATCTAACAATGTAATATATGATTAGATTGATATTTCAAAGCAATGGGGAAACTAAGGCTTATTCAACAAATAAGATGCGCAAGCCACTATTACGTGGAATAAAACAAATATAGAGCCCAATTGAACACATTATAAAAAAATATTCAGGTGAATTAAAAATCAATATGTAAAATCTAAGGAGTTTTCAGAAAAAATACAAAATAATATATTTCTTATCCTGAAGTAAAACATTCAAACCCAGAAGCTACAAAGTAAAATATTGACAATATGACTATATTAAACATTTAAGACTCTACAGTAATATACATATAAAAAAAGTTAAAGGACAAGTAGCAGAATAGGAAAGTACTTGAAACACATCTAAAAAAGGGTTAATAGATTGTTGTTTTTTTTAGAGAAAAAATCCTACAAACATTTACAGAAAAAATGGATAAAGAATACCAAAAAGTTACTTAAAGCTTTTTAAAAAAATAACAGAAATAGGCAAGGAATGTACAAAAACAGGTTTAGTTTCAACAAATAATAAAGTAACAATTAAAATAACACATGTTGTCACAATTAGATTAATAAGTAGTAAAAATATTGGTAATGTCAAGTATTGGTGACTGTGAAAGGAACTGGGTATTCATAGACTCTTTTACTTCATCTTCTTAAAGCAGTTCCTT